GTGGTTCAGTCTCCACCCATTGTCCCCTTCATGTCCCCCACCTCCCATCTCCTGCTTGAGTCTTCCTCTACCGTCCAGCTGCAGTCACCCAGCCCCTCAACCATCAGCCAAGCCTGAAAGTTCATGTCCCGGCAGAGACGCCACAGGGTAGGTCAGGCCTCAGTGGCAGGTGGGAAGCAGATACGCTTTTCTGCTAAAACAATTTCCAAGTAGATGGAAACCTAGGCCACAGCACAGGGCCCAGGAGAGGAATCGAAGGGGTGACCCAACATCCTCCCCGAGCCCTGCGGCATTGTCCAGTCCTCAGGGGACCCAGCTGGCCTCTAAGTGGTGCTGCCACTGGACTCTGCCACCCTGCCACGCGCTTTTTGGCCTGAGACAGAGAAATAAAAGACAGTAGTCTTGGGGCTCAGCCTAGCTTTCAAGGGAGTTGGCCAACCATATGGAGAACAGCTGTGAAGTCATCTTCTCCTAGCTGAGCTTCGAGTGGTTCGGGGGGGCAGAGGTCACCTCTGACCATTGCAGAATCGGGTCCAGGGAGGAAATCACCCTGAATGGCCTGGGCTGCACCCCCAGACCCTAGCAGTACTGTCTCAAGGGAGCTGATGACCAGGAACATGAGGCAGAGTGGCTGGCCATGCCCACCGCCCCCCGCCCACACCCGAGTCTGCGTCCTGGACTCTCTGCGGTGCCTGAAACGCCCTTGGGCCAGTGCTGGCAGCTCCTGCAGGCCCGATTCTCAGCAAACCTGTGGGTGAGATCAAGTCCTTGAGCTGCGCATATAGCAAACTGTCCTTTAAGCCCAGGGCAGGCGTCCGCATGACCGGCTGTGTTCACTTCCGGAGCCGGCTTTTAATACCACACACACCCAGCACACGTCGCCCGGGATCTTGGTACAAACTCAGGCATCTCCTCCTGAGGACCTGGGAACACGGGGCCCTCCTCAAGGCTGAGATCCCCGTGTCACAGTATCCGCATGCCTGCTAACGGAGGGGACACCAGGCACCACTGGCTCCACATCATGGGTGTCTCTGTCTGCCCCCGCACCCCCCACACACAGACACCACAGCGCCTATGTCACCCAAAGGCCCACCCACCTGATTTCTGATCCAAACACCGCTGATGAGGGTGGACGTCTCCAACTGGCGCACAGCACGCAGAGCAGACTTGGGGCTCAGTTACAGCTTGGGTGGATGCCATCACAGGCTGCCTCAAGGGGTGGCATCAAGGTCTGCACGCAGGCTTTTGTGTCCTGGCCATCACAGCCACTCCTGACGGACCTGGCCGGGAGGCACCAGGTGTACTTAGTGGTGCTGTGGTCCCATTTACTTCTCAGGCCATACGGGTGGTGATCACTTCTGGTCACCTGGTTAAATGTCTAAAATGGGATTTTCCATCTGCGAATTGAGGAGCAAGCGATATGCCTGATAGTAGACTGACTTTCTGTGTTTGTGTCAGAGACCAGAGCTCACGGCTCAGATCAATGTCATGCTGACCTGGAACTGTCTGTACCACCCACACTGGCCTTCCAGTCTTGTTAAATGGGTTCTGTTTTCAAATAGGAAGGACTCTATTTCTTAGTGACCATTGCTAGTCATGAAAGTTTAGCAGCCTGCCTGCCTCCTAAACCCTGCTGGGGCACGATCGTTCATGTCCTGGACCCTGCATTTCTCCTGCTGGGAAGTCAGTGGGAGAGTTAAACAAACTGGGGGAGGGGTAAACAAGTCTGCAATTTTGCAGTTCCTCATGGGAACACCCACCCAGCGATGATAACTCCTTGGCCCGGTACTGCCCTCCATCCCCACAGGCGACTGGACCAAGCCTCTCCGAGCAGCCAATCCCCTCAGCCTGCTTGGGGCAACTCACTCTGGGTCTATCCCAGCCCAGGCTGGGGTCCAGGGCCCTGCTGATGATGTGCGTACATTCATGTGTTTGAGCGTGAAAAGTGCAGACAGTGGTATGTGCCCAGGTGCACACACAGATGTGTTGTGTGTGTGTACCTACCTGTGTAGGCACATTGAGACAAAACACTGGAGGGACGAGCCGCACAGGACCAGCACACGGTGGCCTCTGGGCAATGATGAGCCTGTTCTGTTTTTCTCTGAGTTTCTGCGTCGGGAGAGTGTTGGAGCCACAGGCTGGGGGGTGGGAAGGCAGAGCTGTCCTGTCCCAGGGCTCACACTTGTCACCAGCCACGCTCTTCCACAGGGGCTTGGGCTCCATATGAACTGTGGGCACAGCTGCTTCGGGAGCTGGTCTGTGGGCGCAGATATATTGATTTCTGTCTCTTAGGAGCCTTGACGATCCTTCCCCTTCTGCAGACACCTTCCTTGTAGCTCTCGTGACCGAACCTGGTGTGCCAGGGTGCATAGCTCTATAAATATAGCTCTGGGTGTCGTCACAGCCCCGGAAACGACTGAGGGGGAATTTCTTCTGTCCACACTCGGCCTCCAGATCTGACTGCTGATTCCCTGGCAGTGCCAGTTTCCAAAATAAACAGTGGACTCTGTGGGTCAATGACACACAGTTGGTCAGGGTTCTTTGAATGAAATGTTGGCAAGAACACCTGTGACTCTTGCACGTGGTCTCATCCTAACCAGCCCCAGCTGGCTGTGTGACCTCAAGGAAATTGCTGACCTCTCTGAGTCCACTCCCCTTTCCTGGAAGATGGGCTGTGGCCAGGTGTGCACCAATGACAGGGACACAGCCTGGGTGTGGAGCTCAGACACCAGAAAGTGGGCTGTTGCTATTTCGTGTCCATGGCCTAGCCCCAAGGGAGGACAGAGAGGAGGCCAGGGTGAGGCTAAAATTAGCCAACATGGAGCCTCTAAGGAGCAGGCTGAGGTCTGTAGGAAAGACAGGTCGCACCAGCCTCAATGCACCTGCAAGGGGCTCATGGGAGGCGGTGCTCCCAGACCCCTCCCAATGCAGAACTGCCTCTTGGCCCGGGGTGTGGTCCCACCGCAGCCACTCCCCTCACCCTGGGCTGCTTCCCAGTTTGCAAGATTAACACAAGATAAGCCATTCTTTTGTTTAAAAATAGGCAGTCCTGGGAATTCCCTCTTGGTCCAGTGGTTGTTGGTGGTGGTTTCGTTGCTATGTAATATCTGACTCTTCTGACCCCATGGACTATAGCCTGCCAGGCTCTTCTGTCTGTGGGATTCTCCAGTCAAGAATACTGAAGTATTTCCATTTCCTCTGAGATTCCACACTGCAGGGGGCCCAGGTTCAATCCCTGCTTGGGGAACTAAGATCCTGTAAGCCAGGCAGCTCTTATGGCCAAAAACCAGCCCACGGACACCCCAAAACTGCTGTCCCAAGGGCTGAAGGATCTGTTTTTGGCCACTGTGGCTGAAAAGCTCTCTCTGCTCTCCAGCAGCAGGGCCCAGGCAAGGCCCAGTTCCCCTGAGGCACGCCTGGTGTCCCTCCCTGACCCCACAGCCCGAGGGTGGCAGTGGGAACAGCCCTCTGCCCTTACCACTGGGCCTACATTCTGTTCTGAGTGCCTTTGGCCTCCTGGAAGCCAAGACTCCTTGGGGGCTGCGTGAGGGTCCTATAACAGAGGACCACCAACCAGAGACTTAAAAGGACAGAACTTTGCTCCCCCAGGTCTGGAGGCCAGAGTCTGAGTGTGGGCAGGGCTGCCTTCCGTTGGAGGCTCCGGGGAGGGGCCTTCTCACCTCTTCCGGCTCCTGGTCCCCCCACCCCCACTGGCGTCCTGGGCTTGTGGCTGCATCACTGTACCTCTGCCTCCTGTCGATGGTGTCTCTCCTGGGGACACTGTCTCAGGCTTTGGGGCCATCCCCAAACCAGGTTGTGCGTGTGTGCCCAGTTATGTGTGACTCTTTGTGACCTCAGGGACTGTAGCCCGCCAGGCTCCTTTGCCCAGGGGATTTCCCAAGCAAGAATACTGGAGCGGGTTGCCGTGCCCTCCTCCAGGAGATCTTCCTGACCTAGGGATCAAACCTGTGTCTCCTGAATTACAGGCAGATTTCAGGATGGCCGCATCTCAAATCAAAGATCACGTCTGCTTTTTCCAAATAAGGTCACGCTCGGGGTTGGGGGCGGTGGGGGAATATTCCTTTTCTGGGGGACCACCATTCTCCCTCCCACATCCCTGGCAGAGCGGCTCCATCACTAGGTGCCTGAAAGGCTCGGTCCACAGATCTGATCTGAGTCTGGGGCAGCTTTAGGCCTCCAGGCAGCGGCCCCTCCCTTGGCATTTTCATGCGCGGCAGGGGTGTAGGTGCAAGAGAGGCAGGAAAATCAGCTTCTTTCCTCTTAAGATGCAGAGTGCTTATTGCTGCCTGGGTTCCAGGCAGCCTTGGGGCAGACAGAGGGCCTGTTGACCTGGCATAGGGACCACCCTCTCTCAAAGTTTGGGAGTGTTGGGGTGCACAGGAGCCCCTGGGAGCCTCAAGATGCAGTGATTTCATGGCCCTGACTGAGCTCCTTTTGGTCAGGGGCCAAGGGTCAGAGTGAGGCCCAGAGAGGGCAGGCTGGGAGTTTGCAGAAAGATGCAGGGTTGGCATGACCTCCCTTAACCTGCCTGTGGGGCTGCAGACCACGGTGGTTTCTGGGGCACCTGCCCTTATCCCTTGCTCACTTCCCACACTCTCCACACTCTGGTCTTGGATGGTTTTCCCTTTTGTGTGAGAGTGCGAAGCCAGCTGGGTGTGAGTTCAGAGTAGGGGGCAGTCAGCTGTCCCAGGCAGAACACACAGCTCAAGCTGGTGAGCCAAGGCCACCGGGAAGGTGCGGACTGGGGAGACTCAGGTGTTCACACAGTGTCCGACTCGGTCCTGCTGGGTCTCAGCTCTGCTCTCTGCTCTGTGGCCTTGTTCAGGCCGGGGGTGCCCTGAGTGTGTGGGTCTGGATCCCTGGAGGGGGCTGGCCAGGGAGGCCACCCCCACCACGCTGGACACCGGGTATGCAGAGTGCAAGGCCTGGGGAAGGGTTCTCCTGGAGCTGGAGACACTAACCAACAATTCTTCCTGCAGATCAAACCAGCCACTGGAATCCCACGTGTCCGTTCCCACTGCTGTCACTGCCACGCCCTCAGCGGAGATGCCCCAGCACTCAATGGGGGACAAGCCCCTTGTCTCGATGCCGCAGCTGGTCTTCCCTGGCCCACCCTCAGGCACCAACAGCGAGTGTGAACACACCCCCCCCAGCAAGCAGGTGTCCCTCAGTGCACCCCTGAGCCAGCCGCTGTGCCAGCCCGAGAAGTGTGGGCCCCGGGCAGCCCAGGAGGTGTGCTACGTGGCAGCTGAACAGCCCGGGGAGGCTTGCGGCTGGCGGGCCTTTGCCCCCGCGTGCCTGCAGGCCTTCAACACGCCACGGGGCTTCCTGCTGTTCCTGTCCGTGGCCTCCTTCCTGCAGGGCATGACGGTGAACGGCTTCATCAACACTGTCATCACGTCCATTGAGCGGCGCTACGACCTTCACAGCTACCAGAGCGGCCTCATCGCCAGCTCCTACGACGTGGCCGCCTGCCTCTGCCTCACCTTCGTCAGCTACTTCGGAGGCCACGGCCACAAGCCCCGCTGGTTGGGCTGGGGCGTGCTGGTCATGGGCGCCGGCTCGCTGATCTTTGCGCTGCCGCACTTCACTGCTGGCCGCTATGAGGTACAGGTGGATGAGGTCGTGGGGACCTGTGGGGCCAACCGCAGCTCAACGTGCAGGGATGGCGCCTCCAGCCTGTCCAGCTACAGGCTGGTCTTCATGCTGGGCCAGTTCCTGCACGGCATGGGTGCCACACCGCTCTACACGCTGGGCGTCACCTACCTGGATGAGAACGTCAAGTCCAGCTACTCACCTGTCTACATCGGTGAGTGTGCGGGCGTGCTGGCGGTAAGGTCCACCGGGCGTCTGCTCGAAGCCCAGCTCGGTCCAAACCCCTTATGTGCATTTCCTCGTTGGCCACATGTGGTCACACCTGGCCTCAGGGGCTCCTGGGTGAGGTGGCAGGTAAGCATGGGCCTGAATTTCACCTGACGCCTCAGGTGATGGAGGTGGTGCCAGCCGAGCTCAGCCTGATCCCCATACATCTTGCGGGTTCCAAAGCGCGTGGGCTCTATTGGTCCAGTGGTTAGTACTCTGTACCTTCACTGCAGGGAACCCAGCTTTGATCCCTGTTTGGGAAACTAAGATCCCGCAAGTTGGACTCAGCTAGTGGCTGGGCTGCAGAGCTGGGCACTGCCATGCCTCCCGTGGGGGATGGCCTCGAGCCTCATGCTGCCCCCGAGACCCTCTTGTTTATTTGGGTGAGATTTCTGAGCTCTCAGCCTTAATACCGCCTACTTCTCTGAGTCCATCCTACGTGGCCCACTCTCGCAGGGCAGGGCCGGGGTCAGTGGAGAACCCTGCTCCAGCCTGGCCAGGCTCACTCACTGTCCTGCTTCCTACATTCACCATCATGTGGCAGTTGCCGTTCTGAGGACTGGGGTCGGTGTGGGGGGGGCATTTGGGACCCAGGTGAGCCCACAGCCCCGCACAGGTGCCGCCCTCAACTTGCAAAATGAGGGTCTTGGGATCTTTTGAGGGAGAAAAATTCCAGGGGGTGTCTGTGAGGCTTTTAGAGGGATGTTTTAAAATCACCTTGAAAGGTTGACACTGGCCAATATCAGACACAGTGGAGACTGTACAAGGAACACTCGGATTAAAGGGGTTCCAGCCTAGGGCTGGGGTAGAGGGCAGCGATGCGGGGGCTTCTCTCAGGTGGGCAAGTGGGGCGGTGGGTCATGACGGCTCTGCTTCTTTCCAGCCATCTTCTACACCGCGGCCATCCTCGGCCCCGCAGCTGGTTACCTGGTGGGCGGCGCCCTGCTGAACATTTACACCGATATCAGCCAACAGTGAGTGACCTGGGCCCTATGGCTGTGGTCTAGCCCACAGGGAATGTGTCGCTGTTGGTGCAGGGGGATGGTGGCCCTGGGCAGGAGTCCAGGCTGACCCTGCTCTGATAGACCAGGGAGTCTGGGAGCCACTTGGAGAGTGTGGCCTGGGGGAGGGGACAGTGTAGATGGACGGCCTCCCACAGCTGAGAGAGACCAGCCGCAACTGCTCCCATGCTCTTTGCTGAGGCCAGGGCATCAGCCACGGCCCCTCTGCACTGCTTTGGGAGGGGGGTGTGCCTTGCCCTGCTCTTGCTGGGGGAGCCTGGCCCCCCGCCAGCCCCCAGTCCCCATGGCCTTGTTGGGAAGCAGCCTGGCAGGCCCCAGAGGAAGGGATGGACCTGAGCAGGCTGCACAGCATCTGCCAGCTGGTTACCATGGTGCATCCCCACCCTACATCTTTCCTGTTGCCCTCGTCCACTGCTGGTCCAGACGAGTGGGGGGCGGCATCAGGGCAGAGCCTTTGGCCTCTGCCTCTTACTGACCAGCAGACAGAAGGGTGCCTGGTGTGTGTGCTCTGGCTGCTGTGAGCACAACACTGACCCCAAGCATCTCTTGCCGCAGGACGGAGCTGACCACCGAGAGCCCACTGTGGGTGGGCGCCTGGTGGGTCGGCTTCCTGGGCGCCGGGGCCGCTGCCTTCCTCATCGCGATCCCCATCCTTGGCTACCCACGGCAGCTGCCAGGTGGGTGCTTCCTGCCCCAGGTGAGCGGAAGACAGGACGCCCTGTGCCCTGCTCCTCCTCCTCCCCCATCCCCTGGGTGATGCCGCCCTCCTGCAGGTGCTCCCTCTACGCCTGCCACCTCTACCCGCTCAGGGCCCCAGGGGAGAGGCTTGTTTCAACAGGGAGGTGCGCCCCTTTCAATTCCTTCCCTCTGGAGAAGGAGAGCCCGCAGACTCTCTCCCACCCCCTTTCTCTGCCAGTCTGTCACCTCAGTCCCTCTAGTGTCTGTGCAGGAGCCTTGTCCACCAGCTGGTCCCACACCCAGGAGAAGCACTGGGGCCTTTGGTCTCTGCCATTCACCAATACCCATCCTTTCAGGCTCCCAGCGCTATGTGGTCATGAGAGCATCTGAAACATACCAGTTGAAGGACAGTAGCCACGAGGTGACCAGCAACCCTGACTTCGGGAAAACCATCAGAGACCTGCCTCTGTAAGGACCTTGGGGGCCTCTCGTCTGTGCCTGTGTGTCCTGCAGACCCTTTAGGGTCCTCCACATGCTGGGTCTTCACCCTCAGCTAGGAGAGGCCTGTGACCCCTCCAGGGCCACGTGGGAAGCCCACACCCCCTATACATCCTGTGACCCAGCAACCTTCGGGTCTTGGCTCCAAAACTTGGGCAAAGAGATTAAGAGGGGGCAGACAGAACCTCCTGGCGTGGGGCCACCGAGGGCCAGTTCTGACACCCCACAGTGCCTGCCCCCCACTGCCCAGGCCTGTGGACCCAGGGACCCGCACACAGGGGCCCGTTCATACTCCCGCATGGCAGGTTCTGGGGGCCATGCCTGGCACCTCCTCATGTTCACTAAGTGAACCCCTGATGCTAGGGTGAGTTGCCCTGCAGACAATGAGCCCACAGTCCTCAGGGAAGCTACTGACCCCCCCACCCCAGGAGTCACCCCTCCACCTGTCTTCTGATCGTTTCACTGGGAGTCACCTGCATGTGCCCTCGGGGCTCCGTGGAAGGAACCATCCAGCCTCTACCTCCTCTTGGGCAGTGATGTCCTGTTTATGTCACGTGTGACCCGGCCTCATTTACTGACGTCACCGTGTGGGGACAGAGCCAAGGCTGCTGGGATCTCAGAGGGACCATGTTGGGAGGGGGCTCCTGGTGGGCCAGGGCCCCTCATCACGGCATTCTGTGAGGGGCTCTCCTAGGCAGGGGGAGGAGGCCCTCAAATCACCTGCCTGAGTTCAGCCTCACTGAGTGCCCACCTGCCCCACAGCTTCCTGAGCCCATGAATGTCCCCCTGGGGGGTGGGTGCTGTCAGTGGTGGGAATGAGCCCCCGATGTCTGTCTTCAACACAGGGAGGATGACGTGGGGTCAGGGAAGCCCTGGGCTTCTTGCTGCCTGGTTAGACCCCCCAGAAGAGCCACCCACTCAGGAGTTGCCCCTGAGACTGGCAGAGCTGGCCCAGGGCTGCCCTGGCTGGGGACACGCTTGTCCTGTCTCCCAACAGCACAGTGGAGCTGGGTGCAGGGCCACCCACTCCCTCAGAGCAGCGCCAGCACCAAGGGTGTTAACAGCCTGGTCCCCATAGCCCCAGGGACAAAGTGCAGAGATAAGGAGATTTCTGCTCAGGCTTGGCTCCCTGAACTGGCTGCTGCTGATAAAAGGAATCCAGGAACATGGCCCACTGTCAAGGTTGTAACTAGTTCTCTGAGCCAAAGTTCAATACAGGAATTTCAGTTGAGGAACCTACAGGGAGGGATTAAGAAATGAGGAAGTTCACATATTTCTGGGACAAGTCACCTGGCCTGAGCCTTACTGAACATCCCCATAGTCTGAGCAGGTCTGGGAGGTCCGGGAAGGGACTAGCCGCACCCAGGGCTTCCCCGCTGCACACACACAAACACACACACAGACACGCATGCACACATAGGCACACACGCACACACACAGGCACACACACACATGTACACAGGCACACGCACACACACAGGCTAGTCCCAGACAACCTTACCAAGACTGCATTTCCTCTGCATCTTATTTCCTCCATGTACGTGGGACTCAGACTGTTGACCAGAAAGAAGCCTGGTCATAAGTCCTCTAGTCTGGAAGTCAGTTCTAAAATGGAATCAGGTCCCTGTTTGCATCAGGAGGGGGACAGAGGCCGCTCTGAGGTTAACCTCAGCAGCTGCGGGGTTGGGGTGACTTCATTAGTGTCGATCCCCTCCCCAGGGGTTGTGGCCTCACTGTGAGCTCCTACTAGGCAGGATCCAATTTAATGCTGGCCTGTGTCCTCAAAATGAAGAGCGTTTTAGTGTCAGGGTATCAGCACTGCTTTGACAGCTGCGCTGACGGCTGGACTGGGCAGGGTTTCCCTCCTGGGAGGGTCACACTCATGTCTGAGGGACTGGTTCTCCGAGCGGGTCTCCCTCCTAGGAGTGTGACCCACAGTGTCTCAGGGTGTGGGACTTTCCTCCTGGGAGGGTGACCCACAATGTCTGAGGGGCTTGCTCTGCAGGCAGGAGGCTTATGAGGCCTCAGCTGCAGACTCAGAGAATATGAGCAAAGGCGGCCATCCTCAGCCGCTGTGACAGGCTCTGTCAACACAGCCATTTGTCACCAGACTTTGCCTTCTCGTGGGCACCTGAGAACACCCATGGCTCCAAAAGAAACTGCCCCCAGCCCACATCGCTTTCTCAAGCCCCTGGTGTTGCCCCACTAGCCACTGTCCCCCAAGTGCCCACCGAGAGAAGTTGAGAGCCAGTCAAGCCCACCAGGGGCTTCTTGGAGGGGTCTCTGGCTCCAAACCACAGGTCTTCCCATCACCCCCTTTCACTGGTGGTGCTTGAGTCAACCCCCCTACATGCCCTGATCCCCTCTCCTGGCGGCCACCCAGTCCTGGACGATGACAGCTGCCTGTCCCCTCCCTCCACTCCTGTCCCAGGCCCCTCTGCTGGTCCTCCCAGCTGCCCCCGGGGCTGATTCAGTAGCATCACGATCCCTCGGGGTCTCTCCCCACACTGGAGCCAGACTCTGTGACCCCCGCCTTGCCCAGCAAGCCACGGGCTCCAGATCCCAGCACCAGCGCTCGCCTGCCCCACGCGTGGTTTCTCTGGGGGTAAATGTGGGGTGTCCCCTGCTCTCCTGCACCCCACCCAGTCCTCCCTCAGAACCAGGGCTCTTTGTGTTCAGGTGGGAAGGGCTCTGTCTCTGGCCCACTCTGACCCTCGGTCTCTTCTGTCTGGTCTCCATTCCCCTCCCCTGCAGCTCCATTTGGCTCCTCCTGAAGAACCCCACGTTCATCCTGCTCTGCCTGGCTGGGGCCACCGAGGCCACGCTCATCGCCGGCATGTCCACATTCGGGCCCAAGTTCCTCGAGTCACAGTTCAGCCTCAGCGCCTCGGAAGCTGCCACCTTGTTTGGTGAGAACACTCCTTGAGTCTTAGGGGAATGGGTCCTCTGCTTTTTCATCAGTTTTCAGAGGGACCTTTGATAATCTCTTCTAGAAAACCCCAGGCAGTGCCACCCACAAAGGCCACACATCCTGGGTGCGTGATCCTGCCCAGGCAGGGGCCCAGAGCAGGCATCCAGGCTCCTACAGGAGATCTCTGATCATACTTACAAAGCCCCACTCCCAGATGGGGAGAAAGGTCCTTCCTGGGGGCTGACCAGTCTCTCTGTGAGGCCTGGGGAGCCTGGGCCTTTGTGTCCCTGGTCGTGGTGGAAGGGGTTTGGGTGGCAGATCCCACTAGACTCCCTTGGGCCTGGCCATCCCTGGGAGCCAGGTGATCAGTATCCTGGGATCTCCCTGAGTCTGGAGCCCTAGGCCAGCTTGGCTGAAGGCATACTGTGGCCAGAGGTGGTTGGCCTTCCCAGGAGAGTGAGGGTCCTCCTCAGGACCCTCCTCCCAGCCCTGTTCACGGCGTAGCCCTGTGTTTGGGGGCAACCACGGCCTCACAGAGAGCATGCCGGGCATGAGGTATGTGGGGTCTATCCTGGCCAGGCCCCACCCACAGGGCTTCCTTCCCTGCATAGGTGGATGATGTCAGATTGGGGGCCTACCCCTTGACTAATGCCCCTAGACACCGCTCCTTGCTGGCCTCATGGCTGAGCCCGTCTGTCCACATCCCCACCCAACAACTGTCTCCCTTTCCCCACAGCAGTCGACAATCCCTTCTTAGAACAGCACATCCCTAGGGTCCCCAGAGGTGGTCTCAATCTGGGGAGAGGGGCTCACTGAGCCCAGGGACTTTGAGGTCTCCTCCACCCCCTCCTGTCTGCGCCCCGTCTCTGGGTGACCTGAAAGCCACATGCCAAGGAAGCTATGCATGCCATGTGCTCAGTCACCTCAGTTGTGTCCCCCTCTCTATGACCCTATGGACTGCAGCCCACCAGGCTCCCAGGGATTGAACCCAGGTCTCCCACATTGCCAGTGGATTCTTTACCATCTGAGCCACCAGGGAAGCCCTACTTCATACCAAATGGCAGCAGCCACCAGCTTCTCCAAATACTTGTGTTCAGACTCTGACTGCATGGGCCCAGTAGTGTGTTTGTCCTATGGCCTCCCCAGTGGGTGGGGCTGGGGGCCCAGTGACCTGTCCTCTTCCCTGTTCTGTTCTTCTCCTGCCTCCCTGGGCCTCTAAGTGGCTGACCCGGTGGCCTCCCCAGGCCCCTGGGTCCCTGAGAGCACCGGTCAGGGTCCCCATGTGAGGTGCAGAGCCCAGCGCTGCCGTGAGAATGGGACCCCATGACTGTGCACCTCCATCTCCTCATCTGTAAAGCGGAAATGAGACCCAGCTGGCCCCACCCCCAAGGCCCTCAGGATGGCCCTGAACCCTTCCCTCTCCTCAGGGTACCTGGTGGTGCCAGCAGGAGGTGGAGGCACATTCCTGGGTGGATTCTTTGTGAACAAGTTCAAGCTCCGAGGCTCCAGCATCATCAAGTTCTGCCTGCTCTGCACCCTGATCAGCCTGCTGGCCTCCTTCATCTTCCTCATGCACTGCCCCGGGGTGCCCATGGCAGGCGTGACCACCGGCTACCATGGGAGGTAAGGGCCAGGCAGCACTGGGGTGAGGGGAGACCCCTGCGTGTGCTGGGGGGGACCAGGGGTCCCTGGAATGGAGGTAGGGTCTGGCACTTGGGGTGCAGCCACTGGAGTTGGTTATAACAGCAAGCGGACTTCCCAGGTGGCACTAGTGGTAAAGAATCCACCTGCCAATGTAGGAGACATAAGAGATATGGGTTTGATCCCTGGGTCGTGAAGATTCCCCTGGAGAAGAGAATGGCAACCATCTCTAGTATTCTTGCCTGGAGGATCCCTCGGACAGAGGAGCCTGTCAAGCTATGGTCCATGGGGTTGCAAAGAGTTGGACATGACTAAAGTGACTTAGCAAATACGCAAGCATAACAGCAAGGATGATGACCTCAGTGGGGCCCGGTGGCAGTCCCTGAGGCTCTGTCTGTAAAATGGGACAGTGGCAGCCCCAGCTGTGGAGCAAACTCAGCGAGTTTGCTGAGTGGGCCAGCAGATGTGGGCCGGTGAGGACCAGACCCCAGACTGGCCTCCACCCCACTGTCCCTGTCTTCTGCCTGCAGCCTCCTGCCTGAAGGCCACCTGGAGATGATGGCTGCCTGCAACATTCACTGCGGCTGCCAGCCGGAGCATTACAGCCCCGTGTGCGGCTCCGACGGCCTCATGTACTACTCGCCGTGCTATGCGGGTTGCTTGGAGGTGGCCGTGCCCGGCCCGGGCGGCCAGAAGGTAAGAATGGCCCCTGAACACTTGGTCGGTGCCTGGGCGGGGGTTGGGGCCCTGCCGCTTCCTCCTGTAATCAGCGCTGTTGTTGCGCTCCTCAGGTGTACCGAGACTGTAGCTGTGTCCCTCAGAATTTTTCCTCTGGTTTTGGCCATGCTACCGCAGGGAAATGCACTTCAACTTGTCAGAGAAAGCCCCTCCTTCTGGTTTTCATATTCGTTGTAATTGTCTTTACCTTCCTCAGCAGCATTCCTGCACTAACAGCGACTTTACGGTAAGCCCGGGGCGGGGTTTGCTCTGGTCCGGAACCTTCCCTTTGCAGCTAAGCTGGAGCTCTGAGGATCCCTGAGGGGTGTGTGCCGGGCCCCGAAGAGCTCTGGCAGGAAAGAGCTGACTGCCTCTTGCGGTGCTTGCCACCAGGGGAGGCGGTGATGCAGCCCAGGGCTCGGCCAGGACCCAGAGCCGCCATGGGGGTGTTGTGTCAGGCCACCAAGCTTCCCCAGGCATTGACTGGTATTGGTTTTCCATTGCAGGTGCGTCTGTGATCAGCAGAGATCCTTTGCACTGGGAATCCAGTGGATCGTGGTTAGAACTCTAGGTACTGTGCTGTGTAAGGAAGCCAAGCACAATTGTGTGGTGTGTTCACTGCACAAGAGCCCAAGCCAGGCTGATGAGCCTCCCAGCAGGAGGCTATGTCGCCCCAGGGAAGGATGCTATTCCTTAACAGTCCACTAGAGGGACCCCTGGCCATTTATTTGCCCTGAGGGTGCCTTTGTTCAGTCACTTAATCTTGTCGGCCTCTGCGACCCCATGGATTCCAGCACGCCAGGCTTCCCTGTCCTTCACTATCCCCCAGAGTTTGCCCAAACTCATGTCCATTGAGTGGGTGATGCCATCCAACCATCTCTTCCTCCATTGCCCTCTTCTCCTCCTGCCCTAAATCTTTCCTAGCATCAGGGTCTTTTCTAAACAGCCCAGAGTGTGCCCTTTCCTCAGTAACACACAGGCTCTACCAGAGCCAAAGATCATGGGGCATCTTGGTTGCAGAGGCAAATCCCTAGAGAAAGGAGCACTTACGTTCCCTTTGCACCCCCTGAGAACACCTTCCCGAGGGTCCATGCTGTATGGGTCACTGGCACTGCATCCCCGCCCCTACTCCCCGGATATGGCCAGTCACTGAGTGTACCTCTCTTCACAGGCAGCATCCCGGGGCCCATTGCCTTCGGCTGGGTGATCGACAAGGCCTGTCTGCTCTGGCAAGACCAGTGTGGCCAGCAGGGCTCCTGCTTTGTGTACCAGAATTCGGCCATGAGCTGGTACCTGCTCATCGCAGGGCTGGGGTACAAGGTGAGCAGGGCAGTGTCCCTCCAGGGGCACTGTGGGGGAGGGGTGTGAGCCCTAGAGTCCACTCCAAAGAGCCAAGAGTCTTCTCCCACTAGTCTGGGGGTCTGGGCAGCCCCTGGATTCTTCCAACAGCTTCATCCCCCACTGGAAGGGGTGCCCTGGGTACCACCCCTGCATCTGGTTCCCAGAAGGGGATCCTTCCCTGTCCTGAGCGGTCACTGTTGGGTCATGATGACCTGATGCCAGTGGAGGCAATGTCAGGACAGCAAGTCCAGGGCTTATATCCAGGCCACCCCCATCCTCCTGCCCTCTAGAGCCCTCACCATCCTCCACCCACCTACCCCACCCACCGTGGCTTGCCCTGGGACTCTGGTCAGCTGAGGCTTTGGAGAAATAAAAAACCACTCCCCTGAGCAAAAGCCTGGTAGGCCTGCCCACTCTGGGCTGGTGGGCTGGGAGGGTCCACCAGCTGAGTTTCTCCCTCTGCCTCTCCGGTGGGCCTTGAGTTACGTCCCACTTTTCAGCCTGACCCTCTGCTTTCAACTCTTAAAAGAACCTTTCTGCTGTATCTCTCCATACAAGATCTGCAGGGAGACGCTTAGTATTTTTATTTTGAATTTACCCCCATTGGAGGAAAAGATGCAAGACTTCCCAAATAAAGCAGAAGCCTAGGGCCGGTCTATAAGAATGTCTTGGTTTTCTTCTTTGGGTGGAGGGTAGACTCGGGATGTCGTACTGGCAGAACCGCCTCTTTGGGGAGAGCCGCAAAGACAGGATTCTCAGCCACCTTTGGGTTTATCTCCCCGAAGATTAGCTTAAAAATAGCCACGTGTGAGAAGGGATTTGTGGGGCCTGGACAAGTGGGTCAATTCAAAGAGTCGTGCCTACGCAGGGAGCTGGGCCTCACTTTCCTTTTTCCCTGTGTTGTGTGATCCCTCAGCCAGAGCAGCTGGCTGGTACCTGGACCACTGTCTGCCCAGATATCTCCCCCACAACCTCGGCACTGGGGTTGGATCGGCTCCCAAAGTCAGTGCTAATTTTAGTGGGGGAGGGGGGAGTGGCCAGGTGCTCCCATTGGGTCACAAGGTCACTAGAGGAAATAGCCTCTTGTCACTGCAGTTTCAGGTCCATCCACCCAGGCAGTGCCCCTGTGAAAACCCAGCTTTCACACCTTAAACACACATACACATACAGAGGCCAGCATGCCTGCCCACAGTGTTGTCTTCCAGACGGCCTGTGACTCCAGCATCAGCAGTGGGTGATCTGGGCAGTGCCTGCAGTGAAGTGACCACCAACACTGACCACCTCTTTCTTAGGTTCAGGGGCAGCTATGACAAAACACCCCACACTGGGGCTTAGACAGAAATTAATTCTTTCCTGTTCTGGAAGGCAAGTGTCCAAAATCAAGGTGTCTGTAGTGTTTCTGAGGGGCTCTGTCGGCTGCCTCCCCCTCCCTCTTTCCCCTTCCCAGTGGCTCCTCCACCCTTGGGTCTCCTAGGCTTCTGGGGGCAGCACCCCATCTCTACCTCCATCTTGGCTGCTCCCTGAGTGTCTGTGTCAGCCCCCTTCTCTATGCAGACACCAGTCACTGGACCTCATGCAGAATGACTGCAACACCCCTAACTTAATTTTGCCCACAAAGATCCTATTTTCAGATCGAGTCCTGCTCACAGGTTCTGGGAGTCAGGACATATCTTTTAGGGTACACTGTTCAGCCCACAGCAAGCACTCCCCACTTCACCCAACGCCCTTGTTTTCAAGTCAAATTCTATTTTTCATTCCCCCACTAAAAATACTGGTATCAAAGCTGGGCCTGGCTGTGCAGTACAGATGGGTCCTCTGGCCAGAGCATGGCCTGGCTCTCCAGGATGCTGTGAGGAACCCAGGGCCAGGCCAGGGGCTCAGAAGCGGGAGCACCTGGGACCTCTGGGCGGGCAGCTTGGCCAAGGTCCAGTGGCTCCTTTCTCCCCAGGTCCTGGGCTCCATCTTCTTCGCCATTGCCTGCTTTCTGTACAAGAGCCCATTGGGGTCTTCTGATGGCCTGGAGGCTTCTCTGCCCAGCCAGTCCTCGGCCTCCGACAACCCCTCAGACCTTCAGGAAGCCCCCTCAGCTCTCCGGATCCAGAGTAACATCTGATGGCCTACCTGCCCACCCAGAGGCATGAACTTGCCATGCAGCACTTCCTGGAAACACTGTCTCATTTCTCCCCTGAAGCGGGGACCCCTCCCCGATTGAGCCCCAGCATTGAAGACCCTGCAAAACTCTGCCGGTGGATCTTGGGGGACTGAGCTGATGACCACGTGTCGAAGCCTCAAGGGCACCGAGGAGGAAGAATGCAAGATGCATCCAAGTGGAAGCCCCTGATCCAGCCCCCCTGGACCTCACCAGATGGAGCAGGGTGACCGGCTCTTGGCTTGGAAGGAGCAGCTGGCATCCCGGCCCAACAAAGTACCATCTCCCTTTGGTCCCTCACTCTCCACTCTTTCTTAGCCAGATGGCGTCCTCAGGAGCCTCAGGGTCCCTTGGAAACATGAACAGCTGTGCTTGTAAAGCCACCTGCACCCTCCTATGTGACTGCGTCTGCCATTGCATAGAATGCAAAACCACCTGTGGACTCCAGGGAGCTGCTCCCGTGTCCCCTCTTCTCTCCTTCCAGTGGCAGATGCCTGGAGTGAGTGGCGCCCAGTAGAGACACTGAGCTCCCATCATGGTCTTAGATGCCCGAGGCTCCTCACAGTGCTCACACTGATGCTGGCCCGGTTGAGGCCACTTGGAGAAAGAGATAGGGATCCCGCACTATGGACAAGCTGGTGCCTTGGAGCTCCTGGGTGGGTCCATGGCATTTTTCAGGCAGCCTGCCTTGATGTCCCACATTTCTCCTGATAAAGAGGAGACCTGGGGGCTGTGTCCTGGGGGAACTTCTCCTTCATGTGTTGTTGTAAACCTGCTGTCATCTTCTGTCCTCAGGCTCACAACCCCACAGCGGGACGGGAGCAACCTAAGAATGTAGCTATGGACCCATATTCTGTATAAGCACTTATTTATAGAATATGTTTTTACCTGACTGTGTGCTGAGCACTTGTGAATTCTACCCGGAGGGCATTGGGACTTGGGTGGAATGTTTACTGTCCATGTCCTCTGTTAAAACTGTATGTGTATAAATATATTTTAATATTTAAAGCATATGTTCCTGCCCAGTGTGTTTTATTACCATAAATCTGCAGAGTTCAGCAGTTTTGCAAATTGTCCGAGTGGGCTTTTGTGAGTTCATGTCCTTATGGGCTGCCCTGGGGCAAGCCATCGCTTGATTGAGGTCCCTCCCACCCCTCCAAGTGGTGACTCCTTCCCCATGTGACCTGAGTCCCCTCCCTTCAGGGCCCAGCACCCAAGTTGGGGACAGGAGGCTTGGCCTTCAGCCAGGGTCCTGCTTCTCACCACTCATGAAGCAGTGGGATTCGATCAGGGTGACTGGATACCGTGGCCGGCACTTGTGTGTGTGGACACACGTATGCACACCTGTCAGACCCAGCCCAGGGTTACTCTTTCCCTAAATGCCCAAATGTGTTGGAGCAGTGACCAGGACAGGCTGTGACCCAGTCTGCTTCATCTCCTAAAGGTGGGAGGTGGTGATCACCATTCTCACTGGATGGTGAGCTTCTTGGAAGAGGCAGAACAGAAGGCATCTGGTTCCCGGCTCTGCCCGTCCCGACGCCTGTGGCTGGTGCTCTGGTGTCTCATTACACAGGGCACATCAGCCCCTCTGCCTCCTCTGGGGATCCATTGATGTGGATGGAATCACTGGTTGAATCTGGGGGTGGGGGCGTCCTCAGGCGCCAGCTCTGGGTGTGAGCTATGAGCTGGCCCGCAGCCCCATTTTTCCCAGCTGGGAGCCCAGAGGATCTGCAGTTGCAACCATGGGCCCCAGAGGGCAGCACAGATGCGTCCTGGGCCACAAGTTCCCAGAACCCAGTCTCTCTGGCCCACTTGCCCTACTGGACCCCAGTCCTGTCCCCCACCAGTAGCCCCTCCCCCCAAAATTCAGGTGGAAACCAAACGGGGTCTCTCCTTTCCACTCCCCTGGGAGAGGTGTCTGAGACATGAGGTGGATGCCCATCTTCTTGGAATCCTGATCCTCCATTTGCTGAGGACTTGCAGGGCCCGGGTTTAAGCAGGAAACAAAGGCTGGTACATTAACTGATCACCTGCCCCTTTCCGGGCCTGGGGCACACGCCCTTGGGCAGAGGGACCCCTGGTGCCTGGCAGAGCCAATGCTTCTACATTGTATGCCTTCTTTCTCTGTTCTTGGAGATGGGGTGTCTTGTGTATGCACTCACTGAGCCAGTGCGTGCTTATTAAAAATCACATTTAAGAAAAAGTAGCTTTAGTGAAATATAAATGACATGCATGTAATTCGTCCATTTGAGGAGAATGGCTCAGGCGGCAGACTGGGATGTCTTGCAGAGTGCACAAGACAGTCCCTCCTGGTCCACAGTGCCCATCAGTGTTTAAGCGACACAAACAAGCGGAATTTGAGATGAAAGGCAGAAAAGCCCCTAGATTAGGAGTTGGAATAAAACATCAGAACATCAAACACACCCAGGGAGCTCTGGGAATGCACTGGAGCCCACAGTAATTACATATCACACGTCGGGTCTGGCAGGCTGGGTAGCAGCGATGGACTAGGGGGAAGATATGGCCTGCGGGACGGGGGGAAAGGCAGACACGGGGCCAGGCTCTCCGACCACAGCTTCTCTGGGGACGATGATTCAGCTTGCATGGGGACCTCTCTGAAGGTGAGACCACTGCCAGCGACAGAAGCCCACCTCCTCCGGTGACCCGAGGCTGGAAGGAGGGAGTGAATACCATAGAGGAATTGGCACCGGAACCAGGGGGCTTTTCAGGGCAGAAGGAGCAGCCACACAGACACTCAGTCATGTCTAAAGTGAGTCCTAGGAAATGAGTTCTAAATCTGGTCCTGTAGTTAGTTGGAGCCTGGCTCTAGCAGGAAGATCTGACCTTGGGAGACTTGTGGCGACCCCACCTCAGTGATCCCACTGTAAGTAGGACCCATATGGGGGCCCACCTCACAGGGCGAGGTGAGGATGGATCCATTCTGCGCAGAGTCCCCAGGATGCCGCTGGACACAGTGGACCATCCTGGTCACTCTAGGACTCTCAGCGCCCCTTGTGATCTGAGGCTGGGGGCCGGAGGTCACTGAAGGACTGGCCACTTGAGGGTGGGGGTGGCAAGGCTCTTCCCCCCCCGCTCCCCATGCCAGCTCCTGAGGGCACAAAGATGAGCTGAAGAGCAATCGCTCTGAATGATAATTTGCACTTAGATTTATTTTAATCAGCAGCACATTAGCCAGGCACACGCGATAACCGTTTAATGACTGTTATATGTATAATCCATTTTATTCTCAGCTGGCTCCCACGGTAATTACATTCTGCTGTGTTTAATTCATAACTTGATCGTTTATTCCAAGTCATGCTGGGTTGGTCCACAGGCTCAAGGGAGGTGCCACTTGCTGAGGAGCTCAGCCTCTGCTCTGGCCATGCAGGAAGCTGGCGAGGCCACCGACATCTCCTCGGCTCTCGTGGGGGCTCTGGGCCAGCAGCTCCGACTCTGAGCTGGCCAGAGCCTGCAGTGGGTGGTGATGATGGTGATGCAATAAAGCAAAGGCTGAAATAATATCAGACACTTTCTATTTAATGTAATAACTGCGCAGGACTTGTGCACACCCCACACCCAGCACACCCGAGAGGCAGGGGCCAACAGCTCAGTGTGAGTCTAACAGGCCTGGGAGGACCTGTGGGTTCAGTTCTGATGTCCGGAGTGTTTGACCTCACCTTTCCACACCTCAGTTTCCCCACTTTTGACACAGGGATGAGACCACAGTACCCATTTCACTGGGGCCTGTGAAGACTGGAGATCCAGAATATAGTAAATGCAGTCAAAGAGTTTTTTAAATAATTAAAGCAATTCTCATCCTTGCTGCTCAGGCAAGGAAACTAAGATCGTCCCACAAAACAGTACCAAAGTGGGTATATAAATGCATGAAGGTGGAGGCCTTCTGAGAAGCTGGCTGTCAGCCACAGAGGCTAAGGAGTCCTACACCCACCACTGGCTGGAGGACCAGGAGGCTGGCAGTCAAGCTCATTCTCGGCCTGACAGCCTGAGAACCAGGGGAGCTGATGGGTGTGAGTCCCAGTCCCTCCATGTGAGTGCCCCGTGGCGTTTGGTTGACACAGAACGTAAAGCATCACACACACCTGCCAGGCCTCTCTGCCTCTTCTGAGAACTCAGGTGTTCCCAGATGTCTGTCCACCATCCAAAGGGTCTTTTTCAGGCTTTCAGTTCCCAATACTTCCACCAGAGTCCTGTGGGGAACTTGCTTTTAAGGACAGAGTCCACCACCCTCGCACGCACTGGCTTAGAATCTCTAGGGAGGCTCTTCTACTACCTGCATTTAAAGAGCAGGGCTGGCACCACACTCAGGCCAGCAGTGTTTGCTGGGTCCATGCCTGGCCCCACCCTCCATCCGCTATCTCACAGGCACATCCCCTTGGCATGTAGTGTTGTCCACACTGCTGGGAGTCCTTTCCCCGAGAGCAGTGTGAAGTTCTCCTCAATTAATCACAGCCGCCCTTGCCCCCCCCCGCCCCCCAGACACTGACACACCTGGAGGTCCCTAATTAGGAGCCTAATTAGCCCCACAGCCCATTTATCATCACAACGGCCCATCATGAGTCTGCTTTGCAACTAATGGCTGAGTCTTCATGACAAGAATGGCAATTCCTTCCGGTATTTACCTCCACCTTCCCCAGAAAAGTGCCAAGGGCAGCGTGCATAAGCCACTCAAGGGACCGCAGCACTGTGCAGGTCAGGGCTGGCCGCTGGCCGGGCCATGGACCTGAGGGCAGGGGTCGGGTGACCGCCATCCCGTCTTAGCTGGGATGGGAGGGGCTTTGGGGGGAGGGGAGCTACTGGGGGAGGGCGGGAACAGGGGAGTGTGCAGGCAGGTGGGAGTAGGATGGAAAGGGGGGCCTGGCTGCTGTGTCCTATGCCTCCCCAGCCTGGATCCTCAGGAAGAACTCCTGAGTCCACTTTGTACTTGGCCCTTCCACTCTGTCTGC